TAATATAATTAATATAATATAATATAATATAATATAATATAATATAATATAATATAATATAATATAATATAATATAATATTCCAAACTGTTTAAACTAAGTTGATCACTTTTGTTCTTTTGGCTTGTAGTTGCTCTTGTCAACAAATAATCAGCCGTCAAACTCTAAACCTCCCCAAATCAAGATGCAGTCAACAAAGAAAGCCCCGGCTAGAAGAGAGGATGGAGTGGCCCCGTCCAGTGAGGAGAGCGCTAGCACAGGATCACCAGCCGCTCAGCAAAGTGTACCACAGCAGGTAATAACAACAGATGAGGGGAAGAATACTAAATGTAAGGTGTGTTCTGCTCAGATTTATAAGGCAATTTGTCTTCCTGCTGTGTTTTGTCTGATCTGCTTTCTATCACTTTTTCCCTTCACTCCACCTGCTTTCATTTTCCTTTTGATTCACATGAAATATTTACTTTTCTTCACCTATATCATGCTCTTCTCTTGCTTTTCTTCACCCATGCTTTCATTTCATCCCTCCTTATTTCCCATAAAACTCTCCGTTATGCTTTCGCTGTTTCACTCTTACTGCTTCAGACAGAAATGGAGGAAGACCCTCAAAACAAAGAGAACAAGGTAAAACAAGGGACCACAAGTGACTCACTCATTCCCAAGACTGCTAATTACCCCCTCACAGGAACTGTGCTGTTTATAGAGTCTCAACATCCTGAAAGGACAGTGCATGATGCATCTTTTACCCAAATTAAACTGTGGCATGGAAATGAGTGAGGCTTGTGACCGAGAGGGTGTCGTGTTTAATTCTTGCTAGTTTGGGAGTTGTCTCAGTACACACGATAATGAACACTGTAGTGTTCCTGTTACTGTGCATTTGGGCACAGATTGCTAGTATTTTGGGTGATGGTTCTAATTCTCTTGTGCAATGTTACAATGATCTGTTTGGCTGACAATGACAGATGGATGAATATTTGGAAATCTTATTTTGTTAGCTGAATTGGAAGTTTGTTGAAATTTAGACATTAACCAAAATAGTTTTTTTTTTTTTTTTTTTGGCTTTATATTTGAGAATTTCTGAATTTTTTTTTTAGAGCCAAAATTATTATTTTTTTCATATTGTACAATTCCGGCTGTCTGTATGATTTTTAATGAATACCAACTCAACAGTTGAAACATTTCAATTAATAACCATCTAGAATTCAAATTAACAACATTCAAATCTTTCTGTATTTTTTCTAGTTGCATAGGAATCAAATTGATTAATTCTGATGAACTACTACTGCTACTAAGTTTTTAATATTTAATTTCGGTTAATGGCTTTAGTTTTAGGTTTCATTAACTATATTAAGCCTGTAAACTACATGCACTTACTGTGTAATTATTCTGTAGAGCTGCTTATTATTACTATTATATATTTTATTCTGCTGCAGTATAAAGTGGTAAATGTTGCCATAGCCAGGATCAAGTGTAAAGTTTTCGAAGTCAACAATCATCTTCTAACTTCCTTTCTCCTTTCTTCTTGAAGCCAAAGTCTGGAGGCAGAAGACGAGGAGGTCAGCGGCACAAAGGCAAACCTCAAAGTAACTCCACAGTGACCCTCGCTGGTGCGGTCGGGGGCTGCTAAACTCCTTTCAAGAGTCCAGTTCACCCTCCATGTTTACTCGCGCCTTTTACCTGCCCACATGGACCAGACCACTTTGATGACGAGGCTTAAGAGTTCACAGAACCAACATGCACATTGTTTTGTGAATTCTAATTTATTATAAGATATGCGTGTGTTTGTAGACTGTACATACCGTAGATACTGAGACTATAGGACACATACTGCATGGTGGTTCTGTTTTGGCTGTAAATGTCAACTTCAGGATAAACTTGACTGAACATGACATCATGTACTTGCTCTATGTCATTCTTATCACATTTTTAGGATAATCCCATTGGAAATTATGTAAAGCTCTGGCTGACCTCTTCATTATGTAGCTAACTGTTTTTACGGGACTATTAACAAGACTTGTCACACAATTGCATTTAATTTGAATTAGCATTGTTATTGTGGACCATGACGATAAGAACTGGATGGATTCCCGATGCTTTCGGTAGGTGTTATGACCTGAATTCAGTGGGGGCTGAAGACATTGTGACTGCAGAGTTTGCTGGCAGCTAGTTTAGTGTGAAATGTGAGTTGGCAATTAAACACGCTTTAAAATCTAATCACACACATTGCTAATTACCTCGTATTACAGTCTATTTACACTTCCCCAAATCCATGGTCAAGCTTAGCAAATCACGAGCATTATCAGGCCTGACAGACTTGGCTCAGGTTCTGGAAACTTTCTCAAATTATCAAATAAGTTACTTCAGACCAATCAGTAAAACGGAGAGTAAGGGAAGAAGAACAGAATGTAGATCTTAAGGTTATAAAATGTGTCTTAATAGTTCCTCATTGGGAAACGTTACAAACCAGTGCCAGTTGTTCTTAAGAAAAGATGTTCTAAACTTTTTTTTTTTCCCCCAGCTGTGATCGACAGGCCTCTACAACACTTGCTGTAAATTCTTTCAGATGGTTTTACTGTTTACTGAGCTTTAGCATTTAAACCCAATATGATACCTAGACCGTTTTGTGAATTTTCCACAACCAATATACAAATAAACTGATGTTGACCATTTCAGCAGTGTGCGTGATTCTCTTTTTGCTGGTCAAGAGTTTGGCTATCTAGTCCAGGGGTCTTCAACCGTTATCAGAACAAATGCCCCTTTGTGGGATTAAACATGGAGCAGGGACCTCGGTTTCATTTGTTTCATTGTGACTTCAATACAAATGAATTTTTTCACAAAATGAGTTCAAACAATCCCATGTTGAAGACCTCTGGTTGAGTCCGAGACGATGCCTAGTGGCACTTGTGACTTTTATAGTTGTCACGCAAAAAAGACAAAAGCACACAAATTCTTACCGATACAGACTTTTAATTTTTTTTTTCTTTACGTACACATTATCAATGATTGTGGATATGATCTAAAGCCCTGCGAGTTTGGTCATGCTCAACCATTACAGACTAGTTTTTGGTTTAAAACAACCATGTCTACCAATTACAAGAACTAAAATGGACCCTTTTTCTTTCATTTACTGTAACATCTAATTGTGCCACTGCAGGCTCATACAGACGTCTATAATTCAGAGTGGTCCATTATGACTACATGTAAACTGTAATGCAGCACTGGACCTTCATCTATTTCACATCTCAAAAAAAGCTAAATCCAGTTCTCTGTGATGTAATTGGATGTTACGGATGTGAGGTGGTAACCACAGGACATTTATTAAGAGATCCAATTCAGCTATTGGAAACCATCATAATTGGAAATTCCTCTGAAGCTCGTTTGACATTGCTTAGATTATGAAATTTCTAGTGTTTAATCTCTAATTGTACATACCTGATATACACAAACGTGACCATTCAGACACTGAATTAGCTTTTCAAAACAATCCTTCAGGAGCATAACAGCTGGACCGACATCTTATCCACAGATCACTGGCAGTCAAGACTACTTAAGAGTAACTGGACAAAAGGGTGCAAATCCTACATTCATTCATGACCACTGTAATCGTGCCCCAAATGGTGCAACATGTATGTAGCTTTGGAGGAGAAGAAGTGTTTGCAGGCATAGTCTGATTCTGTGTGAAGTCTTGGCAAAGGACTCCTCTGTACAGACAGACTCTTACAAGTCACAAAAAGTGAAACTATTGTGCCAAGACACACAAACACTCACCATTTCAGCCATGTGACATGAAGCTGTACAACAAATGAACATGAATTTCACATGTGATCCCTGTTTTTCTGCAGATGGAGAGTGATTTGGTCTATGTGTGCAGCTCACAGGAAGCGTGTGATGGTTTAGCCATCAATGTCCCAGCTGAAGAGGTGATGTTTCACTAACATGTCCTGAACTCCCTCCTTCAGAGGCCTCTGCTCCTTCTCCTGGAAAAAGAGTGGGGTAAAGTGAGCCATTCGGTAATGTGTCTTCACATCTGCACTGCACTGATTAAACAATGCTCCGTTGCCTCGAATGGCTGAACTAATTAAAACAAATGGCTGTGCTCAGCATTCTTGCTGATTTTCATGACTATCTTACTCTAATTAAACATGGCACTCAAGTGCTTGAAGCTCGAGTCAAGACAAGGTCACGGGTGACAGAGCTAAAGGTCAGAGTGGAGATTCCTCAACAAGCTAACATTAGAACTAATGGTCTCATGTTTCAGGTGAATGTGGAGTCACGGAGGAATTCTTAACACCAGGGGCCTCATTTATAAAATGTTGCGTAAAAACCATCCTAAATTTGTTCTAAGATCATTTCTCAAAAGTGCGTAAGTGCGATTCAGAGAAAACGAACGTGCGCACAAAAACATGTGCGTACGCCTCTCTTCCAGATGTGACATTTACAAATCGTAAATGATCTTGAAATTGTGTGCAGCTGACTGGTGTCAACACCGCTTTTATTATTATTGCAGCTTAGATGTTCAAATAGTTGCACTACTCCGACTTTGCCACAAGGAAAAGTTTGTACTCCTGCTCAGACCCTGACGTGGCGGTAAGTACTTTTCCACGTCAAAGACCGTTTTTATAAATATGAACGTTGCCGTGGATTTTAGATAAATTTATGAGGCCCCAGGTGATGCTTCCCAATGCTACTTACAGACAACAGTAAAGCCTCCCATCAGTATCAAGTCTAAATCCAGACTAAAAAGAGGACTTTTCTGAGCATGCATAATTCATAATCACAACATCATTCCTTGCAATACCTGGCAATTCCCACACTGAAGGTGACAGCAACTTATCTCTGTCAGAACAAGACACCCAAAATACTCACCCCTAAAATCTTTTCACACAGTCTGAACTTATACATGACAAGATTTTAAATTAAACTATACATTTCTATCCTAAAAGGACTTTTCAAATGTTGAGATGCCAATAAATAAATAAATAAATAAAATTGAGAGCGTCATCTTCCAATGAGTTCGCATCAACATATTAAAATATACTATTTTATTCAGCAAGGACACATTAAATTGATCAAAAGTAACAGTAAAGACATTTGGAAATAAATGTTCTTTTGAACTTTCTATTCATCAAAGAATCATGAAAAAAAAAATGTATCACGGTTTCCATAAAAAATATTAAGCAGCACAACTACAACTGTTTTCAGCATTGATTATGATAATAATAAATGTCTCCTGTGCATCAAATGATCATATTATAATCATTTCTGAAGAATCATGTGACACTTAAGACTGGAGTAAAGTTGCTGAAAATTCAGCTTTGCGTCACAGGAATAAATATATTTTAAAATGTTTTAAAATAGAAAACAGTTCTTAAAAATTGTATTAATATTTCACAATAGTATTGTTTTACTGTATTTGATCAAATAAATGCAACCTTGCTAAGAGACGTCTTTAAAAAAAAAAATAATTATTATAATTATATTATAAATTATTATAATTATTCAGATGATTAAAATGGAGCACTGGTGATTAAACAATTAAAAAAAAATCACTATTAAGTTTCATTGTGAATAGTTCTGTTGCAAAATTAGTTTTTGCCATTTAGTTGCATAGGACTTGGTGTGAACAGGCCTTTATCTTTCCAAGTACACTGGCATACGAGCGTCTGTCTGAACTAAACAGAGAGCAGTATTTGCTTTAGCATTCCACACAAAAGCTGCTGAACTGGTTTTTAGAGGTTTAGTTCACATTCTGTAAAGCCACTATGTAAACAACAGTGAACAGAAGACCAGGACACACTACTACTACCACCACTTGCTGCTTCTGCAGCTAATTATCAAGCAGCAGGCTAGTAACTAGTTGCCAGCATTACCTAGAGGTCCCAACTAAAGAGGTGATGTTGGACCAAGACATCCACCACTTCTGATTTGAGAACAGGAGACTTCTGGAATGGCAGACAAACACTCAGATGCATGTTAGCCTGTGTGTGGAAGGACATGTGAGACGTTGAGTGAATGTGAGTGGAGGAAGTGCCAATCTCTCACCTCTTTTTTGGTAGGCAGCTCACAGTCTTGGGAGAGACTGAAGGCAAACTTTGAGAGAACTCTGAAAGCAGCACATACAAACCCATGTCAGTAATGCACTCAAAATCAACCAAAATAACATTTATGGCAGTCATTTCTAGCACACAGATGGGCTTTAAACAATTTATATTACAATTAATTTAAATTACATATCATTTGATACTTAATTTGCTAAAAAATTTATCGTGATGGCTTATGATAAATTCTAATATATGTAATATTGTATATTTCACAATTTTATAATTTTATTGTATTTTATCAAATAAATGCAGCCTTGGTAAGAGACTTCTTTCAAAAACATTAAAAAATATAGCTGCAAGCAGCGATTACTGGGGTTCAAGCACTTTAAGACATTTAAAAGACATTATGTATTATTTAACAAACCTGAAACCAGCTAATTCAATGATTAAAAAGAGCATTTTTGGCAATTCCAGGTAATTTACCCTAGAAATACTATATTTATAAACATTTATGTCTGCTATAGCGCCACCTTTGGTCCGATCTCCATGAAACTTGCATGCTTCTTTAGCATCATGTGTCACATGTGCTCACCTAGTTTCGTGAAGTTTTGAGTTTTCGTTTAGGATTTATAGGCTTTTGGGTATATTTGGCCACACCCCTTTTCTAAATTACCCTGTTATAGCTGTCCAAAGGGGAAAATTCAATCTCTATACAAGTCTCTATGACTTACGGTTCGGTCTGCCCGATCAGTTTTAGGTGGAGATTGCTGATCTTTGGCCATTCTAACAATTACAATAGGGTTTCAGCAGTATGCGCTTGAACCCCTAATTCTTGAATTTATCTTCTA